TGTAACATGCTCAGCAGCCATGCCCCAGTAAATACCATCTGTGCAGACAGGCTAAACCGGGTTGAGGGTAACCAACAAATCCATCGGTAGGTTTGGGGGATGTAAAGACTTCCCCTGTCAGAATGGGCAGATGAGAACAATTTCTTCCAATGACCCATTATGTAAAGCCCAGTTCAAATGCCAAGACTTCTAGGAAGCCTTATTTGATAATGACCATCCCTCCTTGGATTTCACACAGCTTTCTATTTGCACTTCTTAGGTGGTAATCTCATGTATCATACAGTGATTTTATAAACCTAGATAGATAGATAGATAGATAGATAGATAGATAGATAGATAGATATAACAGACAAATTAGATTGATTGAAAGAAGGTAGATGGATGGATGACAGATAAGACAGATGCATTCCATTTTTCTCTACCAGATTTTTTTTGCTTTTTTCATAAGCAATTGGGATTAAGTGACTTGCCCAGGGTCACACAGCTAGCAAGTGTTAAGTGTCTGAGGCCAGATTTGAACTCAGGTCCTCCTGACTCCAAGGCCAGAGCTCTATCCACTGCGCCATCTAGCTGCCCCTAGATTATTTTTTTGAAGGAAGGAAACAAGCATTTGTTAAGTGCCTACTAGGTTCTACTATAGGCACTACATTGTGCCTATATTTTACAAATATCTCATTTAATTCTTACCACAACTGTGGGAGGTAAATATCATTATTATACTGATTTCATAGTTGAGTAAACTGAGGCAGACAGAAGTTAAGTGATTTTCCCAGGGTCTAAAACTGGATTTGAACTAGGATCTTTAAAAAAAAATCTAAGCCAGTTCAACAAACATGTATTAAGCACCTATTGTGTGCATATTAGGGCAGCTAGGTCATACAGTGGATAGAGTACTGGGCCTGGGGTCAGAAAGACTCATCTTCCTGAGTTCAAATCTGTCCTCAGACACATAACACTCACTAGCTGTGTGACTCTGGGCAAGTCACTTAACCCCAATTGCCTCACCAAAAAAAAAAATAAAAAAGCAAAGGGCAATCAAATAAAAGAAGGATTCTACTTAGGGGCAGCTGGGTGGCAAAGTGGATAGAGCACCAGCCCTGGATTCAGGAGGACCTGAGTTCAAACCCAGCCTCAGATACATAACACTTACTAGCTATGTGACTCTGGGCAAGTCACTTAACCCCACTGCCTAGCCAAAAAAAGATCTGGCCTCAGATACTTACTTGCTGTGTGATCCTGGGCAAGTCACTTAACCCTATTTGCCTCAGTTTCCTCATCTGTAAAATGGGCTGGAGAAGGAAATGACAAACCACTCTAGTATCTTTGTCAAGAAAACCCCAAATGGGGTCATGAATAGTCAGACTTGACTAAACAACAACAAAAAGAGTGTATACTGGAGGAACTAGCACATACACAGATGAGTATATATAAAAAAATCTGGTTCCAGACACTCCAATCAAAGTAGCCTATTAGCTGTTCCTCATGCAGGATAGTCTATCTCCTTCCTTTGTGTTTTTGCATAGGCTATCCCCACCCCAACTCCATTCCTGGAAAGCTCTCCCTCCCTCCACACATTCACCTCCTAAAATCCCTATTGTCCTTCAGCATTCCACTCAAGTCCCCTCAGATTATAAACTGTGAAGGCAGGGATAGCATCCTATCCAGACTCTGAATCATCCCCCAGTGCTTACCACAGTGCTGTGCCCAAAGCAGTCAATAAACATTTGCTGACCGGAATTCAATGTTTTATGGGGAATGGTACCAAGCTGATGTTTGTCTTTTTTTTTTTTTTGGTGAGGCAGTCAGGGTTAAGTGACTTGCCCAGGGTCACACAGCTAATAAGTATCATTTGTCTGAGGTCAGATTTGAACTCAGGTCTTCCTGACTCCAAGGCCAGAGCTCTATCCACTGTGCCACCTAGCTGCCCTGCCCCTCTGATGTTTGTCTTACTGCAGGATTGACTCTACTGTTGGTTCTGATTTCTTTCAGCTTCTCTGTATTTCTTTGCTAACCCATCAAGGAAAACTTCATTTTCTGGCACAGCTATAAGGTCAATGTCCCTGTCGTAATGAAAACCACTGCAGCGACCCTGGGAAGGACAAGATCTTTAAGGCCTAATGAGAATGGTTCTGATTATGCAAAAAGCAACCTCATGGTTATTCTAATGTTACAAGTAAATATAAAGGATTTAGAAATACTTGGCCTGGATATTTTTTTTTCAAGTACAGATGTCTGACTCCTTGCCAGCTTGTTATTAAAAACGCTACGGTGGTTTGGGTACAAAGATTGCTGTAAAAATAAAAGTTGAGACGCACCAAGCACTCATTTTGACTTTGCTGGAAAGCTCACAGTGGCGATAGCAGTATCAGAGCTGCCTCAATGCCCTCGGATAAAGCAGACAGATACATCAGCATTCATGGAAACACTTGCTACTAATTACAGGTGAGCTTGCTTTTGATTTGGTATTATTGTCCACCAGAGGACCATCTGCTGGAGGAAAAGATGCAGCTGGATAACATTTTTAATCAACTCACAAGAGAAAAGGGAGCCTGCTAGCATTGTGAACCTCCTTCAAACAGTGAGTTCAAGAGCGATCTTTCGTTGTGCTCAGTCCAGTCCCTCATTTTACAGATGAGGATGCTGAGGCCAACAAGGCTAGGGAGAAGGGAAAGGGCTTGTTATAGCTTATCATTCTGGTCAGGGCTAGAATTTAGGGATCACAGAATTATAGCCATAGAGTTGGGAGGGACAATAGAGGTCACCCAGTCCAAACCTCTCATTCTTATGGACAAGGAAATTGAGGCACAAAAATATGAAATGATTAACTTGTCATAAGTCACACAGATATCACAGGTATTGGGGAGGTACAGCCAGGATTTTGAGCCCACGTCATCTGACTTCACATACTCCTTACTCCCAACCCAATCCTCTTTGCACCCCGTGAGGGTGCCTTTGTGTAAAAACTGATCTAAACTAAAACCTGCCTTTTGATGAGATACAGGTTGTATTTAGACATTTGATAATTTTCAGAAACAAACTCCAAAATTCTATTGCCTCAGTTATCTTGATATCTCAGGTAAATGCTCTTATTTGCTCTGAACTGTCTTGGGAAAGAACTGCCTAGATTCTTCGCTTCATTTTGTGCAAAGACACACAGTTTTAAGCCATTAATTTAGGTAATAATGATGACAGGAAATTCAGAGATTCAGGATGAGGTAGTGGATAGAGGGCTACCTTGGAGTCAAGAAGGACTGGGTTCAAGTCAAGAAGGACTGGGTTCAAGTCATGTCTCTGACACACACTGGTCTGGTGCCCCCTGACAACTGTCAATGAGCTGCCAACCTGTATCTTTGAAGGGACTTCCCATACTGGTAGTTCTCACCAATGAAATCATATATCTGTCTCACTAAGCTAGATAGATAGATAATTCCAAAAATCTATAAGCACAGGTAATGTAGATCATTGATTATAATAACATCTCCTGTCCCTACTCACACCACTTTTGGACTCTACCACTCCCTCAGGAAAGGGCTAGAACAAGTCAGGGATACATCTACCCAATGCCAAGCTCAGGATATAGTTTCAAGAAGACAAAAACAGAAGTGGAAATTTTCCACTCACATATTTCAGGGCCATGTGGACCTTACCTTCAACAACTTACTTCAACTGTGTTCTACAAACTCTTCCATTCCTAATTCCCTTAATGTCCTCCCATTGTCTTGTTCTAAAAATATGCCTAATCACAAAATTTTTCCCCAAACTCAAAAGCCAGCATTAAGAGGTTGGGGTGCCCCACAAGGGTGGAACATTGTATGTACACTGTAGTCAGATGTTTTTGTTGTATGGTTCAGTTTTGTTGGGGGGTTTTTCTGTTCTTCCTCATTTAAAAAATTCTTTGCTATAATGTAGGGCTCTAATGGAGAGGAAGGGATATAGAGGGAAATTTAGATGAAATGAAACCAAAAAGATGTCAAAAAAAATTTATCCTAAAAAAACCAAAACTAGCATTAGGGAACCATAGTTAATAGCTGAAACAAATATCCTGCTTCTGCCAGGTAATTATTGTCAAATAGACAAACAAGTAAATTTATTTATCCCAAGTGGGTTGTAAACAGAGTACATAACCCAAATTTCATCCAACTCCCTCTCCCCCACCCCCACCCCCTGCAAAAAAAAAAAGACGTTAACATAGCATTTGGATAATTTCACACATTCAAGGCCAAGGATCCGCCCTTTCTGCATGATCCAGGAGGTCTTTAGAGGTATTTGAAGAAATGTGGTTTTAAAGGAAAGAATGTTGCAAGTGTTTGATCTATCAAGTACACTGTGTATGCATATGAAACACCATAGAGCAGACTGGCTAAATTTAAACAATCCGCTAAGGGGTATGAAGCTCCAGAGTTTTTTGGTTTGTTTTTTTTTAAACAAAGATTCAAAATCCAGGCACATCTTTGGGATTTCACAAAACTGAGGCCTAGGGAAGGCCAGTTACTTAGTCCTATGACTTGAGCTAGTTCATGATACCAAAGTGTGGTGTTGGCAGGTTCTTAACCATTGTCACATTTTAAAACAATCCATTCCTGTTAAAGAGCATGCTAGTAAAAATGTTTTGCTTAACTCATCATGTATTGCAACAGAAGGAAATACTCGATCACTGAAAAGTGACAGTAATGTATTCTATTAGATTTTCTTATCATGTTAAAGAGCATATTAAAAGGAAATGTTTGGAAATGGGATATCATAATGTAGCATGATGGATTGAAAATTCCTAATTTGGAAAAAAATGCACTAAAACAACATGATTGATGTGAGTGACCTACTTTATAAGAAAATATGAGTTGCCTGGGGCTCATTGGTACACATATTTGGAAAAAGTGTTTTTTTTCCACATTAAGTTTTTATTAACATTTTCAAAAGAGCAGAAACACCGTAGAAGGATATAAGTTGCAACTTGTCAAAGCAGATGTGCTTGGTGTAATTTGTCTCTTAGGAAAGCATACCCCACGCTGGAAGGATTTCTGATTCATATCATTTTTCTCTCCAAGGAAACACCTAATCGGAAAAAATATGACACCATTTTCCTTGATAAGAACTCTAGGAAAGAGATGAGTTAAAGAATAACAGATCTCCATCTAATTAATTTTGACCTTTTGGATTCTTTAGCAAGTAGCCCTTGCAAATATCAGTCCTGAAGGATTGAACTTGGCCCCCTGACCATTGTGGTTATTGCACAGTGTCTGTTGCTAGCCAGATGATGCTACACTGAGTTAACCCTTTCATGTAAAGGGACCGAGATGGAAACAAAAGTCAATACAGTGTGGCCTAAGATTGAAGTTCAAAAAATTGGGATACTGAGATTCGAGTCTTGGCCTTGCTTCTCACTCGCAGTAAAACCCCAAGCAAGTCACAAATTCTGTGGGCCTCTATTTCTTCATTTGTAAAAGGGGGCTTTTGGGGGGGTGAGGTGATGATAAAATGACGTAACAGATATGATAGGTAGTGTGGAGAAAAACATAAAATACTATATATATGAAGGATGCAACATGATACAAAGTACAGAGTGATGAACTTGGAACTGAGGAACCTGAGTTCAAAATCTGACCCTGTTTACTGTGTGACTTGACTTCTCTGGTCCTCATTTTCTTCATCTATAAAATGGGAGGGTTGGATAAGATTACCTCTAAAGTCACTTTTAATACTCGTTCTATGACCCTATGAGATTTTATATATACATATATATATATATATGTGTGTGTGTGTGTGTGTGTGTATTTTATATGTATACATATACACACACACACACATACACACATATATATATATGTATATATATACATATATATACATATATACATATACACACACACATATAATACCATATGGTATATATGTATATATGCCAACACACACATCATTCTTTCCAAGACAATCTGCTCCCCAAATATAAAAATATATGCCCTCTGACTTCAAGCTTATATCTAAATCTAGAGGGAAAGGTCATCTTTGATCATACATAAGATGCTAGTTGCACCATCTTCTACCCTTGAATCTCTTGCCCCTCATCCTTTCTTCTTAGATTGTATTCTTCAGCTGTGAAGTTGTACTGGAGGAAGCCAAACAACTCTTATTTTGTCCACTATAAATTCATGTTATTAAATCTCAACTGATCTCTCACTGCTGCACACAAGCCCTTTATCCTTGACTCTTAACACGCTTGACTCTACCCTTTATCCTGATTCTTACATGGTCCCTGAAGTGGTTGCTTCCAACATTTTCCTCCGCCCAGTATCCCCTCATGTCTTCAGCAGCTCACCTTACCTCCTACTTTCCTGAGAAATTGGAGGCTAGCCATCATGAGCTCCCTCATCTCCCCTGCTAGACCCCCAATAACTAGTGTATATTATCACTCATTCATCCAGTCTTTGAGGAAAAGGTGACTTTCCTTATGGCCAAGGTTAATTTTTCTACTTGTTCCCATTCCCTCTCATCACTTCAGGGTATTTGCCCCTTTGATTATTGCTTCTTTTTCTTCTCTCTAGATCGTTTTCATTTCTTCCTGACTACTAGATTGGCCCACTCCTGCATACTACTAGATCCTTATACCAATAGCAATCTTAAAGAATGAGGATAATGAGGTCACTTGACCCTACACTATCCCAAGCTATCATCCTATGTATCTTCTCCTTTTCATAGTCAAACTCTTAGAAAGAGGTGTTTATACTCTTACCTCTACTTCCTCTTCACCTCCTCACTTCTTAGCCCCTGGCAAACTGGCTTCTGAAGACAACACTGAAAGATAATAGAATTTACATCAAATATAATTGCCAATATTGATTCTTAATGACTCCTTTAAAACATATTAATTAAAATATACTTTCTACCTTTGTGTGATAAACCAGTAGGCTATAAGAGCAGCAAGATTGTTCAGTGGATAGAGTGCTGGGCCTGGAGCCTGAAAAACTCTTCTTCCTGAGTTCAAATCTGGCCTCAGACACCTACTAGTTGTGTGACTCTGAGCAAATCAATTAACCCGGTCTGCCTCAGTTTCCTCATCTGTAAAATGAACTGGAGAAGGAAATGGCAAGCCACTCCAGTATCTTTGCCAAGAAAACCCCAAATGGGGTCATGAATAGTCAGACATGACTGAAAATGACTAAACAACAAAATAAGAGCAGAACATTGCATTGCTATCAGTTGAAAATAACTCTATTGGGTTTTGGTTAATTGTTTTATATGGGGAGGTATCATCAAGCAAGGGGGATATGACTTGTGTCCAAAACAAAGTATTAGGGAAAAAACAGACTGTACCTTTCCCTTATCCTCATTCTCCTTCACATCTTTCCAGATTCAAATACTGTCAGCCTCACCCTGTTCCTTCTTTCATTAGCTTCTATGTCATTGTTTTCTCCTGGTTCTCTTGCATGTTTATCTGCTCCTTTTCAGTGTTTTTTTTTTAGCACATTATCTATCTGCCATACTCTAAACATGGTTGCCCCTCAAAAGCTCAACTCTCTGCATGTACCCTTTCTTGATGCACTCTTTGGAGACAACTCTCAATTTTTACACATACATTCCTAATGTTTCTTTAGAAACTACAGTCATACATACCAACTGCTTGCTGGATATCTCTATAGACATTCCACTGGCATGCTGAACTCAGTGTCTAAAGTAAAACTCATTATCTTCCCCCCGAAACCTTTTCCTTCTCCAAACTTCTATATTTCTATAGAGGGAACCACTATCTTTCTTTTTCAGGTCTGTAGGATCCTAGAAACTCAAATTTAGACACAATTGGTCCAAGCCCCTCATATTATAGATGAAAATGATGCTCTAGTGGCTAAGTGACTTGCTCATAATCCACAGCCAGTATGTGTCAAGGGGGAGATTTTGAATCCAGGTCTTTCTGACTCTAAGTCATTCTGAATTTCTGTCTATCTGTCTCTGTCTCTCTCTCACTCACTCACACACACACACACACACACACACACACACATACACAAACACACACATCCCCTTCTATACTATTATCTTCTAAATCTTGTTAGCTGCATCTTCTACAACATCTCACATATCTATCTCCTCTCTACTCACACTGCTAAAGCCTTAGTTCAGTCCTTCATCACTTCTCACCTGGTGAGGCTATTGTAACGCCCTCTAAATTGATCTCACTGCATCTAGTCTTGCCTCTCTCCAATCCATCCTCCAAATAGCTGCCAAAATAATCTTTCTAAGAAATACATCTGACCATGTCAATCCCCCAACTCCAAAACCTTTAATGGTTCTCTGATACAATACAAACTTCCCACTGGCTTAAGTCCCTCTACAATCTAACTCCAATCTACCTCGAAAGCCTTATTTCACATTATTTCTCTTCAAAAAATTGACATTCCCAGCAAACTGGGCATTTAACTATTATCTGAAATGGACTTTCATAGACTCAGAGGCACACAGATAAAGGCAGCTAGGTGGCAAAGTAGATAGAGTGCTGGGCCGGAACACTTAAGCCTCAGACACTTAATAGCTGTGTGACTTTGGGCAAGTCATTTAACCTCTGTAAAATGGTAATAATAGCACCTTCTTCACAAGACTGTTTGAGGAATAAGTTAGATGATATTTGTCAAGCACTTAGTACAGGGTCTGGCACACAGGAGGCACTATATAAATGCAAGCTATTATTATTATCATCATCATTAATTCTCACCATCCCCTGTGTCTGAAATGCACTAGCCTTTCATATTCATATCTCAGAGAGCCCCTTCAAGGTTCAGTTCAGGTGCCATCTCCTTTATGAAGCCCTGATTCCACCAGTTGTTAGTTATTTCTTCATTTTCCATTTGCCTCGTATTTATTTATACATTTGTTGCATCTCCCCAAGGAGAACATAAGATCCTCAAAGGCTAAGACTATTCACTCTTCGTCTTTGCATCCTAAGTGCCTAGCATAGTGCCTTGCACGTGGTAGGTGCTTAACTTAAAACACACACTGTTTCAACACAATTGAATGATCCCAGTTGAATCCATTCAATTGACCAATATACTTTTTTCCCCCTAAAATCAGGTAAACCAGTTATTTAGCATCATTTTAATCTGGACAACAGCAACATAAGTAGAGGGTTGGCATCTCTCTTTTTAACCCCATTCTATTTACCTTGTTGTAAGTGCAAACCGAAAGAGCATCAATTTTGAACATAGTTTTTTAGACCCTAAAAAGAAAGGAATGAACATAATATTTTAATAACATGTCTCATATCTACAGAGACTACGACCTAAATGCCTTAGTTCATCATCAGATGAACTTTCTTTTGTGTCTGGAAGGACATCAGGTCAACAAGGGTAATGCTGACTCTGAGTTCCTTGAATGAAGAATTTGGGGCACACTTCCTCAGTGTTGTTTTCTTTCTTCAAATTCTTTGTAAGCATTAACTATGAAGATCCATCTTGCATCTGGTATCATTGAATGAATGTTTTTTTATAATGGAACAGCCAAGGGCATTGTTTTCAACCTCACAACTAGGGCCAGAAGTCATGGAGGTGCCCCTTGGATACAGAAAGAGTTGTTAAAAATAAGAGCTCCAGTCACACAGCTCTTTAAAGTTAATATAGGGGCAGCTAGGTGGCACAGTAGATAGAGCACCAGCCCTGAAGTCAGGAGGACCTGAGTTCAAATCCGGCCTCAGACCAAACACTTGACACTTACTAGCTGTGTGACCCTGGGCAAGTCACTTAACCCCAATTACCTAAAAATAAATAAATAAATAAATAAAGTTAATGAACGTGATATATTTGAAAGAAGGATAGATTTGGAGGAAGAGCACTTGAGGTTAATGCCCGGCCTCATTGGTTAACACTCATAAAAGCCTAACTTTTCTGGGCCTCAGTTTCCTTATCTGCAAGTTGAGGTGGCTGGACTAGATTACCTAAAGTCCCTTTCAGCTCCAAATCTTTGTATCCCAGCGTCTAGCACTGTGCCTGATAGACAGTGGGCACTTAGCAAAAGCTTGTTGATTGAATGATTGATGGATTTTCTCAACACTTAGATAAGTATAGCAGTTATTATTAAATCCCCTTGAGGAAATCTGTTCACAGAAAATTAAAGGTCAGTGTAGTAGTAGAAAGAACATTAGATTGGACATTAGGAGACGAGGTTACTGGTTCAAATGCTGCTAACTAACCCTGGGCAAGTTACTTTACCTCTTGGGTGTCAGCTTCCCTATCTGTAATATGAAGGGGTTGGGCTGGATCCCCAAGTTCTTATCAGGATTTTCAGTTCTACTATTCTGAATCTTATTCAAGGTCTTTGTTGTTCAGTTGTTCAGTCTTATCTGACTCTTTGTGACCCCATGGATGCTGTCCATGGGATTTTCTTTGCAAGGATACTGGAGTGGTTGCCATTTCCTTCTCCAGTGGATTAAGGCAAACAGGAGTTAAGCAACTTGCCCTGGGTCCCACAGCTATTAAGTGTCTGAGGCTAGATTTGAACTCAGGTCTTCCTGACTCCAGGCCCAGAGCTCTATCCACTGAGCCACCTACCTGCCTTCTTGTTCAAGATCATAGTAATTTAACGCCAGACCTGGAACTTAGAGCCAATGACCATCTTTGGTCCCTCCACCACATAAACTGCATAGGGTACTGTTCTAGCTGAGACCAGCCTTCTCTCTAGACGTCTCTTCCTTGCAGAGAATGAGGTTGTTTTTCAGCATTCTGGACTCTTCCAGGCACTAATTACCAAGCGTTTGCATCTCAGTTCTCTGAAGATTTCTGCAATCTGCACTGTTTCAAGAGAAGCCGAAACTCAGTTCTTTGGTGGAGAGAAACAGCCTGTATGTGTCATTTATTTTATTAGGCTTTCTTAAGGTGCCCAAGGCCTAGGGTGTGTGGCATCAAAGAAAGGATAATTAATGTGAAGAGAGGCCTTCATGTATGTATCAATTTACATGGAAGCTACTTTTAAACAAGTATTAAAGCAACTTAATTCCCTGTAGAGGAGCCTAATATCACCAACTTAGCGCAATCTGTTTTCACTTATTCAGAATCATAGCACCTCAGAGAGAGAAGGGAACTTAACAGTTTGGTGGAGTAGAAAATGTAATTGAAGTGTCTTGTTCCTGAGTCCCAATCACTAGTTGAATAAGTGTGATCAAGTCATAATCCCTCTAGGCACAGAGGGGACTGAGCAAGATAATGTTTAAGATTTCTTCCAGCTCTACAATTCCTTAGTTAGAAACCATCTACAACTCTCTGCCCAGTGCAGGAATTTCCTTTACAACATTCATGACAGGTGGCTGGCCACCCAGCCCCTGCTTGAACTCCTTCCGTACCAGGGAGCTTAGCACCTCAGACTGACAACCTTTTCCATTTGGGGACAACTCGAGTTGTTCTCACTGGTCCTGGTTCTGTCTTGGTGGGCCAAGCAGAGTAAGGCAAATGCCTTTAGGTCATTGCCTAAGTCATTGCCCTGAATGCCCAGAAAGAACTGCTCCACCAAGTTTCTCTTTATAAATTTTCTGTCCAAAAAGAAATATCAAAATGAACCCTGGACTGGAGATCTAATGCATTTAGACATAGTTTTAATTCTGCTGTGGATTCTTCCTATGTGACATCAGATAAGTCCTTTAAGCACTTGGTCCCTCCAGTTCTCTTTCCATCTTCCCCACCAGTGCCTTGCCTCTGAGATCAGCTCCAATTTACTATCTATCTATCTATCTATCTAACAACTATGTGCATAGAAGATATATAGCAATGATGTACATATAATATATAAAATAACCATGTACATACAAGATATATATGTATTTATATAACAACTCTGTACATACAAGATATATAAAGACATGTAACAACTATGTAGATATAGGATATGTATGTATGTATATAGTATACATGTCCTTATGACAACTATGTGGATATAAGATATATAGATATCTTATCTGTATGGATATACTTGTATATATGTACATACATGTATATAGATAGATAGATAGATATCACTATATCTTGTATACATAGTATATATCTTATATGTATCTCTTGGCTCCTAATCTATATATCTTGTGTGTACATAGTTGTTTATATGTTCCCTCTTTCCCACCTCCCATTAGAATGTAAGCTCCTTGAGGGCAGAGACATTTTTGCTTTTCTTTGTATCCCCAGTGCTTAACACAGTGCCTGACAAGTAGTAAGTGCTAAACAAATGCTTGTTATCTTGCCTTGCTTTGTCTTGACATCTTCATAATAAAAATTGACCTCTTTACTTTGTATAGGGAATATATAATACTTTGTATTGGGAATAAAGAATAAAGAAATACGGTCAGAGCCCTTTAAGCTTTTTAGAAAATAACCGACCATATAAGTTCCATGTGGGGGCTGTGTCTATTTTTCTTTTTTGTGGTAAGACTTTAAATGTTCCTTCAGTACAGAAAGGGAGAGAGACCGAAATATGCTCAGGATCTGTAGCCATATTATATACTTATTTTGAACCCCCCATACTGCCTAGCATAGTACTACTATATTAAGAAAATATTTAGACTCAGATCCTGGCAAGAACCTCAGGGATTCACCTAGTCCAAGGATTCTTAACCTGGGGTTTATGAACTCGTCTTTCAGAAATATCCTGATAATATATTTTAATATAATTGTTTCCTTTGTAATCCTTCATATTTTATTTTATACATTTAAAAATATTATTCTGAGAAGGGGTCCAGACTGGCTTCACCAAATTGCCAAAGGGGTCCATGACGCAAAAAAAGGTTATGAACGCCATAGTCGCCCCCCTTCATTTTACAGAAAAAGAGACAGAAGCCCGAATCAGTGAAATCACTTGCCCAAGGTCACAGACCTAGTCAGAAGCTGGATCTCTTGGCTTCTAATCCCATGTTTTCATAGCATTCTAAGGGCCATATGCACAACGAATAAGTCAGTTTCTATTGCTGACTCAGGATTGTACATTTGAATGGCATGATAAAAGCCTTGTAAATTCTCCTTCATGTGGACCACCCCAATACCAGGATATATGCAGCCTGGGAGGGGGCCCTAGTGGGAAAGGCAAAGTTTAATAAGTTTCAGGGTGGAGCTCAGAACACTTAGTGGTGGGACCAGTGCATGGGCCCTATCTCCAAAAGCTGCCCCCCTTCCAGTAACCAGTGCCAATTTGCAAGCTTGCTTTCTCAGCATACCTGGGAGACTCTGGCTTGCTCCTCTAGAACGCAAAAGTCTCACTAACCTAAGGACTCTCCCAGTCAAATCTGCTCACTGTCTGCCTGCCTTGGGAATAGTAGCCATGTAGACTAGGCAGGCAAAACTCAATCAGATCTTTGTTGCTTTCAATTTGGCCACTTTCCTGAGGACCGTACTCAACAACAAACTGTTCTCTACTTCTTTCCCTCATCAAAGTGACAGGAAAGCAGGGATGACCCACAAAAAGCAAATAATGGCTTCTGTGGTCCCAGTACAAGGTCAAGCTTTTTATTCATTCAAAAAGCATCATTAAGTGTCTATGGAGGAAAAAGAGAGGAAGAGTACTGGGAAAGTCAGCGTTGGATCTCCAAGTTCAGGAGTTCTGTATTTAAAGTTGGAAGATGTGCATTGGACTCTCAGCTTTGCCACTTTCTAGCTGTGTGACCTCAAGCAAATCAATAAGCCTCTTTGGGCTTCAGTTTCCTCATCTTTAAAATGTCAGTAATAACCCTGACTTGCCTACCTCAGAAGGTTGTGAGAATCAAATGGATTAATTTGCTAAAGGAGTTTGTAACTATAAAATCACATACACATATGTAAAATTATATGCACATGTTATATGTAGAAGTCCACTTACACACCAATTAGGTCAAAAGTGTTGGAAAATGCCATTAAGAAAAACCTTGGATTCTTAATGCACATAAGCAAGGAAAAGCAGGAAAAGTAGGATTGCAAATTCCTTTCAAGTTGAAAGCAATCTTACTTTTTTTAAGAACAGGAGCCAGTATTTTTTTTCTTCCTAGGAATTGGCCTTGACCAGCTGACTCTAATGCTAGAAGCTACCGTCAGGGGTGAACTCTGACCCCCTCAGCATTCCTGGTGCACATCAGTGGCTCTGCTTCCTTCAGAATCAGCCTAATTCGTTGCTCTGACTGGGGAACACAGAAAAGAGCCAGGAAGGGACCCTGAGGAGAGATAGGACTATCTTTCCAAATGAAGAAATTATCTTCCCGGTTCCAAAAAAATGAAC